TACATATGTTATTTCAGAACTTCCCAAATATCCCAACATGAATCATGTTTGCAGTTTACAGCCTTTGGGCCTGTTTGCTGGGATTGAATATAGTGTTTCTGTTCTATGTTTTTATTAGAATATTATTTATACACAATAATGAGTTTCATTATAGCATTTCATGCATATATATAATACATTTTGATCATATTCACCCCAGTTACCCTCTCTTTCCGTGTGTGTGTGTGTGTGTGTGTGTGTGTGTGTGTGTGTGTGTGTGTGTTTAATACAATTGCTTATAGGACATGCTTATTTACAAGAGCTTGATCAGCCTCTGTGGCTATATGACTGAACAAAATGTCTCTCTTTTCCCCAGCAAACATTAACTGCCAGTGATCCTCAAGGAGGGATGAGGTCTTATGACCTTCTCAGTCCTAACAACCTCAGAGAGGCGGCGGGGGGCGGGGGGGAGAGCAGGGCGGGGGGAGGCTGTGATGGAGAGGAGCAGGATTTTGTGAAGGGTATGTGTAGGTAGTCAAAGCTGGTGCAAATTCGGTAGTGCAGTGGCCACATCATTCTACAACACTATCCCTGTTCCTTCCTCTGGCTTTACCTTCTTCTGACTCCTCTTCCACAGTGTTTCCTGAACTTTGGAACAGTATTAGGTAGATGCTCCATGTGAGGCTGAGTATTCAATAGCCACTTATTCTCAACATTTTGGCTAGTTAGTTATGAGCCTCTTTCCTAACCACTGTACACTGCAAAAAGAAGCTTCCTTAACCAAAGCTGGCATTAACAGTAGTGTATGGATACACACTCACACACATACACACACACACACATATACACAACACACATATATACACATACACTCAAATATGTGTATGCATATATATATGTGTATATGGCTGTTTGACAGAGGCATCATATCCATTTAGCAGTACAGGAGCACTGGATTCCCTACCAGGGTCTATATCCTCCCTAGCCATGGGCTTTTTACCAGGTTTCCAGGATCAGAAATGAATTCCCTCCTGTGGAGCAAGCCTCGAACCCAGTTAGAAAATGTCCAGTTATCCCCTAAACAGTCACAGCACTATTGTATCAGTAGGTCTAAGTTTACTTGGCAGGTCAGTAGTGAAGGCACAACCTCCAGCTGAGAAAGACTGTTGAGGACAGTTCTCCACAGTAGTTCACACAGCTCATCTAACTCTGTGACACTAGCCAGCAAAGAAGAGGCCTCTAGTTCAGTCTTAGACTGATCTTTCTATGTCCTACACCCAAAGCGTGTGGTATCTTCACCAGCTAATTATAGTGGGAAATCAGCAGTAGTGGCAGTGGCCTGTATTGTTTGGGAGACCTCAAGGGCCTCTCTGGTCAACAAACTCTTAGGGAAGCTCCATTCCCGATAGCAAGATTTTCATTTAACAACCTTACAGATTCTGGGAGCATCTTTATTCACCCAGGGATCCTCTGTTCAAACTTAAATTTTGTTCCTAATTAGCTTACAAAATAGCAGATTTTCGTAAGGCTTTTTCATATAATTTTGGTTGACCTTCCTCCCATTATCTTCTCCACCTTATCTCCCTGCAACACAAGCCCTCCTAAGCCTTTTAACCCTCATCTTCATCCATCTTAATATTTCATTTATTCTACTATCCTGTTCTCCCTCAAAGCCCCTCCTTCCCTCCCCTTCCCTCCCCTCCCCTCCTCTCCCCTCCTCTCCCCTTCCCTTCTCTTTCTTCTCCTTTCCTTTCCCCTTCTAGTTTCCTGATCCCTGCAGATACCCTCACTCTGACAAATACATGCATGTGAAAATTAAATTAGAAGTTAGAATCCATGTACAAGAGAGAATAGTTGTGCATTTGCCCTTGTGAACCTGAGCTGTGTCACTTAATAATATAACATTTTCAAGTTTCATTTGCCTGAAATTTTTATCATTTCACTTTTCTTTATGGCAGAATAAAAGTTTGTTGTGCATATTTTGTTGTATCACATTTTCATAATCCATCAGTTGGTGGACATCTAGACTGCTTCAATTTCCTTGCTGAATAAAGCAGCAATAAATATGGATGTGCAAGTTATCTGTGTGGTGGAATACACAGTCATTGGGCATATACCATGGGTCATATAGCTGGGTTATACAGGAGTTCTATCTTTAGATTTTTAGGAAGTTATCTGTGCGGTGGGATACACATTCATTGGGCATATATCAAGGGTCATATAGCTGGGTTGTATGGTAGTTCTAAATTTGGATTTTTAGGAAGTTATCTGTGCGGTGGGATACACAGTCATTGGGCATATATCAAGGGTCATATAGCTGGGTTGTATGGTAGTTCTAAATTTGGATTTTTAGGAAGTTATCTGTGCGGTGGGATACACAGTCATTGGGCATATACCAAGGGTCATATAGCTGGGTTGTATGGTAGTTCTAAATTTGGATTTTTAGGAAGTTATCTGTGCGGTAGGATACACAGTCATTGGGCTTATACCAAGGGTCATCTAGCTGGGTTGTATGGTAGTTCTATCTTTAGATTTTAGGAAGCCTCTGCACTGGTTTCCATGGTTGTTATACTAGTTTGCACGCCTGCTCACAGTACCCACACGATCGCCAGAATTTGCTGTCATTGTTTTTGACCTTAGCCATTCTGACTAGGATGAGATAGCATCTCAAAATGGTTTTAATTCACATTTATGTGATGGCTATAGACGTTCAACACTTTTCATAAAGGAGATGTAACAGTTCTTTAGTATAATTTTCAGATTGATTTTTTTTTGTTCTATTGATTGAGATTCTTTTGTTCTAATAATAAATTGTTAAAGATAGCAAAATGTTTTCACTTTTGCTCTAAATCTTTATAAACACGTTTTACATAGCAATAGTAGTCATTACAAGCCCTCTGTATGAAGCACCGTGCAAGACAGTTCTGAGGTCTCAAATAGTGTCAATAAAAAGGACACTGTAGCCTTTTAAGGGAAAGGAAATAAAAAACACATAGTAATATGTATCATAAAATATATATGAGCTTGTGCTCACATGCGTGTGTGTTTGTGTGTGTGTGCACACATGTGTGTGACCTTTTCTGATTTAGCAGAGGATCTCACTGAATTATTTAAACAATTTCAACTGCTTCTGAGGAGAGTAGATGGAGGCACCATGTGAAGTCTCAGATCCAACAGAATTTAGTTTTAGCTGAGTCTGTGCTCTAGGAGGTTTGGATCACAGGAACCTTGACTGTTTTATATGCGTACATAATCTCAATGCTATATTCACACTATAATTTACATACTATTTATCATTACTAGTAGTTGGATACTATGCCATTGATAGTGTGCATATATAAATGTATATATATGCACACATATATATTTACTAACAATCATAAATTGGCATGCCTGATGAAGTACTAGATGTTGATGTAAGTATAGTTAGAATAGTTTTTTTCAGATTAAAACAAATTTGTTAAAACAAACAAATTAAAACAAGTCAGTTGGTGGTACATGCTGTAATCCTAGCATTTAGGAGGTTAAGGCAGGAAGGTTGCTAGCTGCATAGTGAGCTTGAAGCCAACCTGGACAACATGACATCCTGTCTCAAACAGACAAGTTAAAGTAGATGTTCTTTAAGGCCATTACATTTTGAATGTCAAGATGTTTGCAAGGGAATTGAATGTAAACATTTTAGGAAACTTTGTCCTACTATGTTAAAGCTGAATCTGTCATTAACTCAGTTATTATGAACAAACACAAGTTCTGAATTTCCTGCCATTTCCACATTGTGGTTTTGGAGCCTCTGTCCTGAAATGAAATATTCTGTTAACTTTCCAGTTTATCTTGAAGACCAGCATCACACTTTGAGAGTGTGCAGTCAAATAGTATCTATTGTGAAGAATTGTTTCTTGAGCCTGGTGTCCTTGCAGATTTGATTATTTAAATTATACACAGTCCCTTATCAACAGCTCTGATCAAATGTCTTCTGCATTTCTTCTTTCCCTACCAAATTAGTTAGTCTGAATAGTTGGACAGCATTTGAAGAAGGCTGTCTGTTCTTAGCAATGTTATATAAGTTAATGAAAAACAAATGAAGATGCTTTGTTATTAAGTTTTACATCTTTAAAAGTGAACAAACTACACATATTCTTAAAATTATATATGGAAATCATATTGAATAGCATCTTCTGATTTCAGTGTGATATCACAGCTTATTCAGGCAGAATTAGAGCTATAGGTAACTATTTTGTCGTGGGGTTCATGTCCAGCTCTTCATAAGATAAAACAAGATGCTAAAGTATAAATAGGCATATTGTATTCCATCTGTTAATAGTCTAATACTTCACAGCTTGTCACATAGTTAAACGTGTACTATTCCGTTCCTTGTCAGGGGTGTGGGTTGTAATAACATACTCTGATCATTTCTAATGATCATTTTGAAACACTATTTTCTTAACATTTAATACGTGATTAAGATTTATATTATTAATATTGTTAATTTTAAAGGACGTATTTTCAAAATCAAAATATATAGTCTTTTAATTATTTTATGTAAGTTTTGAGTTTGCAAATATTTACTAGTTTGTTAATATCCTTTCTATTTGTGAAAGTTTTAGTGCTTACTAAATATGCCAAGACTATAGATAATCCATATTAAAAACAAAAAGCAGTCTGTGGCTCTTACACTCTAACAGACTGATTCAGACATGATTCTGGGCTCTACTAGTCATGTTTATCAAAGTGCAGTGTAGGAGTGTGATCATTTTACAACACAGATTTTTCCCACATTTTTCAATTTTTTAATTCCCCAGAGATAAGGCAGAGCTTAAATTCCCCAAGATCTAGTGAAGGTCCTAATATTTGCATATGTAGTATTACAGAAGATAGCTTTTTTTTTTTTAAAAAAAGTGACCTTTTAGAATTGTCACAATTTGATCTAATTATTTTTCAGAGCCTTGTTTTGTAATAGACAATAAACTTGGCCCCTGTGGTGTGGTCTTAGGGTAATGTCTCACTCTTCTCTCCTCCTTCAGGATAATCTTAAACTTCCACCACAAGAAGACTGTAGAGGGCCCTCCCGCACCAAGAACCATCTGCAGATCTTTTTCAGTGTTCTTGGAGGTGGGCTGAGAGCTCGATCACTGTGTGTCAGCCACCTTGTTCTCTAAAGGTAAGCACTGGGTAGTGCGTGCACACATGTGGGCCCACGTCCTAATGCAGGACTGGGTTTGGAATGCTCTATTGAGGGCCTAGGTCATCATACCTGGACCACCCACTCTTGGCCAGGGTATCACGTGTCCAGCAAGAGTTTTCACTGTTTATAAGTGGAATATGCCCTAGAGATTATAAATTTAATTTTTGTTTTGTTTTGTTTTTTAGATTAGGGCTGGGGGTATAGCTTCTTTGTCAGTAAAGTGCCTGAAACACAAGCACCAGACCAGAATTGATATCCTCAGCACCAGTGTGAGATGCCTAGGTGTGGCAGCCTCTGTCTGACCTGAGGCGGTGATGACAGGCAGATCCATTGTCCAGCCAGCATAGATACTTGACGAGAGACCCTCTCTCAAAACAAATGGAGAGTGATCCAGGAAGAAACCCAGAATTGACCTTTGGCCTTCACTGTACGTACATGTACACACACCCACAAAATCATGTACACACAAGAACACACAGGAGCCCAATTATACTAAAGCTTATTTTTTCAGTCTGCATCTAAACCAGTTTATAACTGCTGAATTTAATTCCTCAGCAAAACTCTTGAATGTCTTGAAGCTTGAAGTCAAGAATTTTGGAATAATTTCAGAATTTAGGTCCTCTGGTGACACAGTGTAAATTAATAAACCAACTTGAAGCCCTGCTCTTCATGATCTCTCTGAAGTTGGGTCTCTTGCCTTTACTCCAGAGGGGCTCTAAAATCATTTGCAATCAATTGAAACTTCAACAAGTATGGAAACAAAGACTTTCTTAATGTTTAAGAAACATGTTCATGACTTTACTCTGTCAGGTCCTAATAGAAAGAAATGCTGGAAAATCACCTTTTTTCCCTCTTAGACTTCTTTCTTCATGAAATAGAGAATAAACACATTGACCCCAGCAGGAGAAACTTAAAACAGATACATTAATGCTTCAGCTTTCCTTCCAGACTTTAACAACAGAAAACCTCATGGTTATTTTGTCAATTTATTGACACCTCCAAATGGCTAATCCTAGATACAAATGTCATTTAGGTGTCATTTATTTTCTAAGGAGGACAGGAAGATGTGTGCTGATTTTGAAGATGCTATCTGTGTTAGAAGTTGGGTAGCATTAGATAACTTTTGCTTTCAACAAGAAGCTGAATTTGAACACAGTTCCCTGGATACTGTAGCGTTGGTAATAGGGAATAACAGCGCTGAGTAAAGAGGAATACCACCTGGCCACTTTCACTCACCTCTTCTTGTTGATCTTGGAGACAAGCTGCACATGATGTGACCTTATGGAACACCAGCCGTGGAGAGAATCCTGATGACTGTTTGACGGCCCTACTTCTAAAACATGGCTAACTTCACCCTCTTTCAAACCACAGTCCTTCCTGTATCTGCTTAATAAAATGTGTTGAAGAAAAATAGCCCTTGTCCTTGTTGTTAGGATGAGAAGAGGGAGAATTAGACATCCACAGAAAGGCCTTAAAAAGCAGTACACCCTTCAGGATATAAATAGTTCAGTGGTCAGAGCTAGTCTCATTGCAGATAATTTAAAAATTAAAACTCCTTAGGTAGCTCTAACACATGTTGTACAACATAGAAGCCCCAGGTATTTGTAATTTAAAGATTATATGTATGCATACCGTTAATTGGTTTTTTAATTTTTAGGAGTATGGTGAATATTTTGAGCCTTTATAGTGGCATGGAAGAGAGTAGATAAATATAACTCTTTAGCCAGTTGGGAAGAAATTTGGAAATAAGACATAAACCTACTGAAATTCTAAGGTGATGTTTAGTAATATAGGTTATTTCTTATTATTAAGGCTTTATTATGAAATTTTTTTTGAAAAATGAGTGTTGGGAGACTAGAGAGATAGTTAAGTAGTTAAGAGCACTTACTGTTATTGCAAAGAACATGGGTTCAATTCTCAGCACACACAGGGATTCTCATAACCATTTGTAACACTAGTTCCAGGGGATCTAATACCTTCTTATGGCCTGTAGGCACCAGTGTGCAGTCAGAACGCTTACACACATAAAATAAAAATAAATAAATCACTTAAAATGGAGTGTTGTCTTACAATAGCACAGACAACCTATTTTAAAAAGAAATTTTCACCATTTTATTGCTATTGTTTAATTTCATATCATTTGTGTGGTATGTGCATATAACACCAGAACCACTAATCTTGCCTTCTCTGTCTGTGTTAACAAAAGTAAGATCTGTAGCAACACTTGTCGATAGTAATGGACGCCACATCCATAGGGAGCAAGATGAGCTGTTGGAGACCCTGTGGCTGTGCTAATCTGCAGGCATGACAGCTTGGCTGGCTGATACTAGTTCTTTCACCGAACCAGGCTCAAGATGAGCATCTTGCTTTCAAGTAAGCTTGTGTATAAATGTTAGTATATACTACTACTTTTGAATTGTTTAAGAAAGGTCTGTTCAAAATTGGGTCTCTGATTTCCCCTTTAGATCTGTGTTCGTTATTATTTTTAAAGCAACCCTAGCCAATCCATGCCAGCAGTCCCTAATGACAGCTTAATTTCCTTGTTTTGATCCTGCTCCTGGCCTCCTGTGGTAAGGAAGTGGGGGCCAGAGGCAACCCCCTGTGCTTACCAATGGGACGGGGAAAGTTGTAAGACTCTTTGGAGGCATATAGACCATCCCTGTCTCATGAAAATTGAAAATAATAGTCAGATCACAAGTAGAAGTTACACAAGTAACAATTCTGATGATTTTTTAATATTTTAATAGACACACTGAAAAAGTAAAACAGCCAGAATTAATTGTAATTACATTTTATTTAACCCAGCCTATCCAAATAATGTTTTAGCACATAGTTATGTAAATTAAACCTTCAGATGTGGTATATATTTTACACTATGCGTGTCTCTATTGGCTTAGCCACAGTTGAGTGTTATATAGCCACATGTGGCTAGTAGCTCCTGTATTTGATTGGATGGATCTAGACAAAGAGTGGATGAAGCTGCCATCTTTTTCTTCATCTGTCCATTGGGTGGCCTTGATAGTCCACATGGGTTTAAGTTTCCAGGTTTAACAGAAGGCAAAAAACCAAATAGGATATTCTATTTAATTTGAATTTCAGATGAACAGTTGTTTAGCGTAATTATTACCCCTGCTTAACTTATCTAAGTTGATCTGATTATTTTGTGTTTTATCTTGTCCTGATTCAACTTAAATGAAAGGTCACTGGGTTGTCTAGAAAGTTGTAGGGTTGGGAAAGTAGAGCCCATCCTTGAGATGAGTCTCCAAAGGAGGAACCTACCCAGAGACAGCATGGGGAAGTTTAAGACAGAGAGGGCTTTTCCATTGTAGGGTCTTGGTGTTTACATCCTGAAGCATTTCAAATCCACACCATTACCTTAAGGTATAAGGTTTTGAAACTGATGATGACTAACTTGAGTTTATAAAATGCAAACTGTTGAGTGCACACCATGATTCTATACTTTCTGAGGAACCACTCAGAGGACAGGTCATCTCAGCAGGTTTCTGGGCCTTGGCTAATCTAAGAACCTCTCCTGGCACCGGTCACCTCTGCAGCTGGCACTTGACTCTCAGATTGGCAGACATGAACACAGAACATCGATTGCTGGCACTGAGGAAAAACTTGGTGCAGCAGGTATCTGGTGGTGAGCACTGGGTTCCAACACCATAACAGTGTCTTCATTTCTCTACACTTCTTTGCAGAAGAACAAAAATCCCAACTTTACTCTTTAACATTTTAAGTGTATTTTAGTAGCATTTTTGAATTTTTAGTATCCTATTTAGTAATGTGGATCTGACCCCTTAGGCTCCAGAGAGACCGTTGATGTTCCCTCAGGGCAGTGGTTTTTAGACTGGCTCCACACCCTTAGTAAAGAGAAAAGGACGGCAGGTGTCACCCTGCCTCTTGGCCGTTGAGGCAGATCTCCCAGCTGCCAGTGCTCCGTGGCAGTGTCTTCTACTCCAAGCATAAGCTATCATCCATTTGAAATGCATTCACACTTAGGAGACTGCATCCAAGAGAGGTAGGTCTATGATTGGGCATCTTTCAGAGAACTAGAATTGCAGATGAGTCTTTTTAAAAAGTAATTATTCTAAGGAAATTCTAAGATAGCCCTCCTCCTAAAACAGTTAGCCGAAAGGTCTCAGTCACGATCTTTGTGGTCAGTTTTCCTTCCTCACTTGGAAAAGGAACTGAAGCTGGTTGGTAGTGGTGGGCTTGGGTGGCAAGATTACTGCCTTTGAAAGCTTCAGGGTTACCCATTTCTGTGTCTGGAAATATCTTACATTTATGTAAGAATCTTGCTTTGCCTAACTTCAGATTTCTAAGGCATGAGCTATTTTGCCCAATTAACACCTATATCTATATATAAATAAGGTGTTTAGCCTTTCCTAGCTAATATTTTTAACAGTAAAGAGTATATTAATGACTTGGGTTTGGGTTTTCACTTTTGTTCACAAGACTGGTTTTCTTTTGCTTGAAGATTTCTACATTATTTCTAAAACTATAATTTAAAAATACAGAAAAAAAATCTTCAGTGTTAGTCCCTATTTAATCCAAGGATCCTTGGGTCTGTGAAACACCAGTAACTTAATCATTTTCTGTGTATACTCCTTGATGCTAGGCATCAGATTCTTAATTTTCATCATACCTTCAAAGGGTTTGTATCAAAACTTTTGTCAAACTGCCACTTATATAGTATTGTGGGATCATTTTGCTTATAGAGAAACTGAGGGATAAAGAATTTAGTAATTTGCAATTACTCATTATATTCACCATGTAAAACTTTAAAACCTCTTCAGAAACATTGCAAATATATATACATAATTTCTTTTAAAGTCTAAATAGGCATATTAAATATTATCCTCTCATTCAAAAAACCAAACCAGTTAATTCAACTCATGAAGTTAGTGGTGGAGCCTTGATTTTCATATCATCAAAAATAATCTGGCATCCGTGCTAATAATGACTTAACAATTATTTATGTTTTTAAGAATAGTATTGCCATACTATTTGTTACTGTTTGCACTAGGACGTACAGACGAGTGTGAGAACCATTAAGCAATATCTGTCTTTACCCTCATGCATGTCTTTCTGTGCATTAACAACTTAGCATTTATCTTTTATTTCCTTCATGTTTATGTATCAAAAGCTCTTAACAATTTCAGTTTTTACGGGAGTATTTAAACTCTGAAATTCTGCCATAGCTACCTTTCATGTTCCTAGATAGGGAATAATCAAGCTTCTCTAATCAACTATTGAATACATGGAGAACTGTAACAACATAATGATAATTAAACACATTTCCTACCCCTAACAATTCAGGCTATGGAAAATGTGTGCTGTGGAGTTGCACTGGGAAGCAGAGGACACAGGCCAGAGAATAGTTTACTCCTGACAATAGAAATGGAACTTTAATTGAATCCGAGACATCAGTGGGAATTTGTAAACAAATTGGGGACCAGAATAGGGTTGTGGGTTGAGGGCATGACAGACATGAAGGCCCTGCAGGGTAAGTGGGGACAAGACATACTCAAGACCAAAGACACAGCTGAGAAGGCTGTATTGCGAGATGCCTTCCCAGTCTCCTAGGTATCCATCATTTCGCCTTCATATTAACAGCAGAAAGAGGATACTGGATGCCAGATTTGTGGGTTTTTTTCTAAAACTTGTAACTAAAGACTGCTGCACACATAGAGCAGTGAGCATGCTAGGGGTATAGAGCTTCAAGACTTCACAATTGAACACAGTTGTGAGCATCACCAGCATCTCAAACTCCTTATTTTTCTCTCCTTCTCACCAGCCCTGCCCCACATTGATCAAGGAAACTTCTTGCCTGTGTTCCTAACACATCCATGGTGTGCCTGTGTTATACTTTATGTAAATAGCTACGTGCAAGATGTACTCATTTGAGTGAAGGAAGCCAGATACAAAACTGTAAGATCTGTGTTGTTGAGCAAGTGACTAGTCATTGTTGTGGTTGTATGGTGTTCTGTAATCCAGGTAAGCTTCACAGTGAAGCTAAGAAAGGGACAGTGGGCTTCAGCTAGAATGGTGGCAGTGAAGATGGAGTGGGCATGTTATAGAGATAGCTGTGGGTTGTGAGTTTAATAGCATGTGGGAAGGATTAGATAGGAAATGGGGAGTGTAGGGAAACCTATGGCTAGCTCATAGGCTCTCATGTGGGCAGAGGTTAGTGATAATCTTTTCTATTAAGTCCAAATACTGGGGAGAAAGTAGGTGGCTTGTATTTTGTTGTTAGAGGACAATAATGAGTTTGACTTTGGATATTTGAGGTACATATGAAGCATTGTACTGTTCTGCTTCCCACAAATCAGTGCTCATGGCTTAGCCAGGGAATAACTATATATATTCTTTAGCACGTGTGCCAAGTTACTTTAGCATATGGAGAACTGTTTTCTTTTCTCCCTTGTCTCCATGGATGCTTCTGATCAATATTTGTAGGAGTGACCTTGTCTCATGATGTTTTTCCTATCTGTCTATACATGTACAGTACACCTCTCCCAGAGTGTCACTAAATTTATGTACAAGAATAACATTTCCTATGTATTTTTCATGAAGGGCGTTATTAAAATGCCTTTGTGCTTACCAATTGTATTTTATCATTCTATTCTTGCCTTTAGTTAGCCCCATCACTCCACCTGGAAGTGAGCTCCTTTGTGTGAAGGGATTAACCTAGCTCCTCAGGAAAACTCTCATAGATTGAAATTAATGTTCATCAGATTTTGTTAGAAGTGGGATGAAAGATGGAGAGTTAGAGCCTGAATTCATGCATAGTCAGGGAACCCAAGACGAAAACCACGACCTTGAGGTGCAGCTGGAAACACTGGCTCAGGGGATACAGGGCAAAGCAAGCCTTGTCTGCTCCACAGAACTGCCTGGCATAGTTGAACCTTTGAAACTTTTCCTATAGAGATGAGGCATCTACCTTAGGAGGAGTGGACTGCTGAGTAGACCTAATGGTTCATGGCCATCAGGAATGGTTCAATTCTCTTTAGACCACAAATTGTACTAAAATCAGGGCAATTTATTATCTCACCACAATGTGCGGGGAGGGCAACAGCAAAATAATGGTGGTCATGCTTTGCAGTTTATAAAATTTCATCTGGCTTTAGGTTCTATCTCTTATCACTTTTTAAAATAAAATGTTCAAGTTTATTGTAGTTTTTTTCTTTCAAAGTTTTGTCTTTAATTTGGATTTACCTTTAACAGCCAAACCATTGTTTTCATGGCCATTGAATAAGTTCATTTAGAGATTATTTGTTAAATATATGTCATGTTTGTAATAGTGCTGAAGCCTAAGATGACAACGGGAGACTTGGAACATAGAACAGTATTGTAGTAGTACAGATTAT